TTTCTACTATCTGAATTAAAAATCCTTTCCGGGCACGAGTTCGTTATTCGAGACATTCATTATCCGCGGGTTACCACTGTCATGGATTTCCAAGTTTCCTGGCCCTGGTATAAAGACGTATTCCTGGAGAAATTCTGCTCAAAACACAAAATCGAGCACTTCAACGAATGACTTCCTGATATATGTGATGTCACAATCATTCATAAGTCACGTCATTCATTTTCAAAACATAGTTCAAAAATAAAATGTAAAAAAAGATAGGTGCCAAGCTCAACTTTATGGTGCAAAAATTATTTGCGCGAGGCGTCCATTATTCAGGGTGATGCTAAAACGAATTCTGATGTTCTTTTTCTTCGTTCTTACAAGCATGATCCAGCAGAAAATTCCCTGAAGAACATAAAGTCGAGCGCAATCACGAGTGGTTTACAGTTTTCAGGTCACAATTACTCAAAATTCAGTTTATGATTCTAAACAGTGTCCAATAACAAAAGTAAAAGTGGGTTATTAGCCCGATTTCGTGGCACGAAAATTCATTATGCAAGGCGTCCACTATCCGGGGTACCACTGAAATAAACTTCTATTTGCTCATACTTTCTTACAAACATCTAACGGAATGGAAATTTTCGAAAAGTGCAACGGGCGGAACGGCGAATGGTTTCCAGCGGTCAGGTGAGGTCACAATATCACTTATCATTCATCGCTTCAAAACAGGGACATATACTAACGAAAGTAAAAATTTTGGCCCGGCATGAAATTCATGGTGAGAATACAATTCATTTTATCATTTTATAAGGATGTATCATTGAGATTTTTCATATTCCCTTATATACTCTCTCATACACAGACATATTCCAGCAACAAACAAAAAACATGAAGGAAAAAATCGCCAAAAAATGAGGGCAACAGCGAACGGTCCTTTGCTGTCAAGCCTCGTATATACTCAGTATATACCTCTTAGTTCGACCCGCTGCATTGAATGTCGGGGGCGAACACAATGAAACAATTCGGAACAGAGGTCTTCGTTTGTAAGCGTTCCCACACTTGTGCTGGCGTCGGCCTTCTTCGCAACCGCCCACTGGCAAATTAATCCAGATTAATATCTCACGTGAAGTCTGTGGCTAATCGCCTTGAAGCACGAGAAACAACACGCAACCGATTGCTCCGCGAATTAGATCAGGCGCAACAAGAAGAAGCCAGGATATATAGTAAAAAGTAACAAAAAAAATGAAGAAGGAAGAAAAAACGGGGAAGACCCTTAGGAGTTGCAGAAGAGTGGGAAAAGGAACCTGAGGGAGAGTCTGTCGAGGCTTGATTCCAGAGCAGTGGGTATAAGATTCGTTATCCTTCGTCTGAGATCCGAGTCGGTTTAATGTCGTCTTTTCACGCAGGTTTCTCGCCACATTTTGGCTGCAAACGACCCTCCATACGAAGAAATTAATCCGCGAAGAGGCAAACTTCTCAACGTTTTTTTTTTTTTTTGGGAAAAACGCGAACTTCCGATTTTTATCTAATTTAAATTTTAGGAAGGAGTATGAATAAAGGAAGCGCATACACTTATTACTCATCCAAAGCTTGAGAGGAAGAGAGAGAGATCTAATGAATTGATGAGACATTTTTGTATCGGTTCCCGTGGGTCATTTTCCACCACAAAGAAACCTATGTTTATTGTTTTTTTTCTTCATAAAATATCAAATTTCACTCAGAACTGAGCTTCTTATATAGAAGTGGAAACTGTCAAATTAAACTCACGGGAGTTTGCATAATGTGAAAACAACTACAGCTAGTATAAAAATATCCCGACGCGGCGGCAGAGAAGAAGATTGGCATGCAAATCGTGCGCAGTTTTTGAAAATTTAAAATATATATTTTTTGAAAGTTTCTCATTAAATTTTCTTATTAAGAGCATCGTCCCTCTGTGTACGAGTACTGTATGTCACTGCAATGTGTTTCAGGTCAAATTGCAGAATGGATTCGGGAAAATTCCGCTTTAATGCGTCTTGTCTTTATGTAATGGAATGTTTTCAATGCCTCGAATGTGATCATCCAAAGATTATGGAGGTTGAAGAGTGCCAGGTTCCACTAAAGTCTAAGGGTGCTTCAAAACCCTGTCATATTTGTCCGAAGCCAGCATTGCTTTTTAACAATTGATTAAATATCGTCAACCTTAACAAAGCGTGGCAATCTACGCAAAAAGAAAAAAAATCGGCGTTGCTCTGTTTTTCTTGAAAACAAGTTCAGACATCGAATTAACTCTGTATACCCACTATACCAACTTAGATGCTCTACTTAATAAAAGCCTTAAAATGAAAATAAATATTTCCAACAAAAAAGTCTTGCTATTTAGATCATCTCTAATTTTTCATCAAGGAACATTAGTCCCTTGAGTTTCAAAATTCTCTGTTCGTTAAAGCCGCTTTTATTTCTCATTTATTTCTCATCCATTCTTTTATTTCTCAACTGATTCCCCATTTTTTGCACTGTTCTGTTGTTCTCTTTAAACTCATGATTTAAAAACTGTGTCTCCGACATATAGATATTCAAAGTTTCAGCTCACACGATATTTCCTGGATTGAGTTGCTCTTTAAATGTGAGAAAAACATGTAAATAATAATATCACGAATATGAAACCAATCTTATTGTTAAGGAAACACAGTAGCGTAGACGCAAATGAATGCTTTATACATATATTTTTTAAAGAAGAAGTCGGGGGATTTGAAGTACTGGATTTTCGAACGTTCCAGTACTGCCTTGGTTCTTCGAACCTGTTTCTATAATTTTTCCAAAATATTCCTTGAAAAAATTCTCAACGATAAAAAGAGCTTCAATAATAAGAAAGGCATGATGATATTTTCCAAAATTATACTTTTTTTCGTCAGAAATGCATAAAATAATTGGTATACCAGTTTTTCTATTCAGCAATAGAAAATTTTTCTTTAATTTTTATTTTGGCGCAATTATTTTCTAGCTGCGCTGCTTCCCATATACTGTACGTGTACACGACTGTGTTCCTTCGTTTACCACAAGTGCATATCACGGTATTAGCGCAGATTCCTTCTTCAATCCCGTACACTCTTTTATGCAACTTCCGGTCAGAACGAACTTATCATTTATCCAAAACCAATTCATCCGTTTATTCCCATGAACCAACTTTATTTATCCGACACCGGTTTTTACTTTCCTTTTTGGCACCCCTTCAATTCCTGCTGCTGCTCTCGAATTTTTCAACATTCATCTAGCTCTTCCTAAATGCCAGTATTACCGTTAAAAATTCTCGAATTCAGGTGGACTCTCTCTCTCTCTGCAACAATCTTGTCTACAACGATTTTCTCCATATAGCGAAGGTTTTTTTTTCACGAAGGGTTCTCTCTCCATCACACGCTATGGGTAGTACAGGGGTTCTCCACAAAGAAATTATGATCGAGTTGAGAATTGCCACCATATCGTGTCAGACCTGATAAAGGTGACAGATGGCCACGGTTTTCGGCCCACTTCATCTTATGCGGCGGAAGTTCGGCGGCGGGCGAGAACAATGGAAACTTCAACTTCACCCCGACACATTTCCTTAAATAAGCACCTTTTATCAAACTTATTTGGATTCGAAACTTCGAAGTGAACTGGACTACTGTATTCCTTCGCGCATCCAATTTTTAAAGAAAGCATTTTCCATCCAGGCAGTGTAAGGGAATCAGCACGTGCGTAATAGATGTTGTGTCTGGGTGAAAAGCAAATAAGAAAAGTTTATAATCAGGATTTAAATGCGCGTTGATTTTTTTTAATGAAAGAAATTGTTTCCAGGAATCTTTAAGGCGGACCAGCAACAAAAAATTCAAGTCGAAGAAGGGTCGAGACGTCAAATAGACATGAGTTTTGCAAATGGTGTTCGTCAAAAAAGGACTTTTATGATTGACCTCACATTTTTAAAACGTTTATGATTTGAAGTACCGAGGAAAATAAATAGTGTGCCAATAAGATTTTCCCTTCCATATATTTGTCAATCCAGTAGAAGGAAGAAAGTTGGAAAAATCACTTCATGCAAGGCAAGATCAAAAATGCGCTGAAATGCGTTGCTAACTGTTTCTTTATCAGTACAGTATTTTCAAAAGTAAGATGATGAAGAGAATACAGCACTCACTTAAATTCATAGTTTCGTGTATTAGTTGGATGAAAATCTCGCCATTCGCAGTTATATTTTCACGAAAATAGAGATCCTTGAATTGAATTAGATTCAACTGACCGGATACAATTGAACGCACTTTCGGGTTTTTTTTCGCACACAAAACCTAAAGAATCTTGCTTCACAGTAATTAAACTACAGTATGAATTTACAGTATTACCCATCAGAAATATGATTACTTGCGTGAGCCTAACCTTATTAATTGAAATGGTTTCATTAAAGTCCTGTGTTGGCATAGGATGTAATTGCATCATCCCCTTCATCATAATTACCTTAATTTCCACCGGTATTTCGTCCTATACAAGCAGATGCGGTCCCGTGACAAGCCAACCGCAATTCGTTTTATAGCAACCTGAAAACACCTGTGCTTTAAAATTAAGTGAACTAACGCAACGGATATTCCGACAGAATTCCTGGTTTCATATTCAAAAGAAAAAAAAGCACTTATACCCTACATTTCTTTCCGCGGAAATCACGCAAGTTTGTACACTCCAGTAGTGTGTAAGTTACAAAACAAAGCCCGAAACCAGAGTCCTTGTCCTGAAACGAATGCCGATGCCCTGGCGCAACTGTCAGCCTAATGATGACACATGCGAATCCGTTTGCCGGTACCTAAAAAAAAAAAAAAAAAAAGGCTGATCGCGTGAACACAAATCACGCCTGGATTCCTGCTCAAAACACCTGTTCCGGCACTTTTTTTTGCGTGTGCGTGTGTGCGTTGATGATCCTGTTGTCCCAGCTGCAATCAAATCGCAATCCTTCGGACCCAAAACAGGCCTCGGAATTAAGGGCAAGTGACCGAAACACAGCCTCGTGAGAAACAATTCGCATGCATTTTCAGAATCATCGTCGATCCACCGAAAAAAAAAACACATTTCAACAAAAAAATCGAAACAAAAAAAAAGTGACACTCAATCTCGAAAACAGTCTTCCGCAGCGGAACACACGCAAATTAGTTCTCGAGCCGTGGAAAATACAAAATCACCGTAAGCTTCCGACATCCTCACATCGAACGGAAACCAAAACAAAAGAGCAACACTGGATCCAATAAAAAGAAGCTGCCGGGCACTGATATGAAGACAACATCCTCAAAATTTTCTTTCTTAATTTTTTTTTCTTTTTGCTTTTCATACCAATCTCAGGGATATGCCAAAAAAAAGAAACTTGGTACGACATCCAGGCATTCAATGATGTGTTCGATTCCAAAAAAAGGGGGTACCTTTTTTTTTTTTGCAGATGAAAAGGGGGAGGAGAAACAATCACAGAATAAGGGTTCGATCACTGGATTAGTCTGTAATCACAGGGCACTAGCAATGAATTTCTCCTTCTTTACGCGATCGATTCGCAGAATGATTTCTGATACACTTCGTTTTTATTTTATTTTTTTGTTTGGCAAGACAGTGTTTGGGTGGGTTTCAGTGTTTCGGTCGGTACCCGAGATTTTTGCGTTGCAGGAACATGTGGATTTCTTTGAACTGAGGCCGATCTGCTTCATTTTTGCGCCAGCATTCGCGCATGAGGTCGTACAATTCCTTCGGGCAATTCGGTGGGTGCCCAAGAACAGACTGAGAAGCAAAGCAGAAAAACAAAAATGGCACATTTTAGATTGATAAATCATGCAAATTGTGGATTCCAATTTCACAATGTTAACCTATGTAATTTACTAGTACTGTATAAGTCTAACAGCATTTAATTTCATGTGTTTACCCAACCTTCGGTCTACCCCAACCTTGGGGAACCAGCAAATAAAAGTGTATTCAATTATCTTTCGAATGATGTCCAATATTATGGCTCCAAGCACACTATTTACCTCGAAGCGATTTTGGTATACTCGCTCTAATCTTCCTAAATCTCGAATAAACTTTTATCAAAGTTTTTCATGCAATTGCCTAATTAGTCTTGATATGAAAAATGTTTCCTTTGCGCCGTTCACAAAAAGGAATCATTGTCGTACCGTGTGCACCATAAATCGAAATCATATAATGAAGGTCTTTTAATGCATTGCTTAAATCAGATCACCTTATTCCATCACCCTTTTAATTCGTTATAAGTAATCCTCAGTTTAATGTGTTCCCGACGTCTTCAAAACACCACAAATAATTAGTTCAGGAAGGCTTCGCTTCCACTACAATATTAATGAAAAACGGCCGAAGTACTGTATATTATGTGAGATATTTTAAATTTTTTTGGGACCTTAAAACCTTCCCTGAACAAATTATAATGAATAATAATTAGGAATTCACAGATTTGAGACGAAAGCTGCATTATCGGAACAATTATTCCTCAAAATTTGAACCTTGCTTGAAGCTTTTAAATGGAATCAATTGCCTCAATCCGAGGAAAAATAAGATGTGCCTGAGAAACCAGATCTCACGCGATAAAAAAGATGCAATACTGTATTGCAGTAAATTTAAGCTATTTTAAAAGGCAATGCATGCTGTTCAAAACATCTGAAAGTACGGTATATGTTTGTAAAATATAGTTTTACCGTATTAAAAAGAACAATAGAACGTCAATCTCACCTTTGCTTCACCAGTCTGATGAATGTGCACGAGATTGTCGATCACCAGCTGATTGGTAAAATTTCCAAAGGGCAACGATTTCGCCTGAGTCAAAATCTCCCATAAGGTCACACCGAAGGACCAAACGTCACTCTTGACCGTCCACTTGCCCTATAATTTTAGACACACATGAAAATTGGGCTTTAAATATAATATGCTCTCTTCTTCAACTTCATGCCAGACATGCTCATTACTATCTGGTTTTTTAGATTAAGCAGTGTCAGGACAACAATCAGTACATGTTTCTACCATTTTATAAAAATAATTATCTTCGAGTGAAAATCTCAAAGATAAAGGCGTGACGAAAAACCGGTGATTATATAGTAATGTCCACCACATCAAACTTCTCACAGTAAAGCAAATGCCAGGGATGGTTCATAAGTTTCCTTACTCAGGAAATTAACGGTACTGGGCACTTGCCATCACGAGACCTGATGGTCGTCACACGTTTTTTAGACAAATCAACAATCCATTTTTAACTTAGAAGAATAAAAAAAGTCCCCCCATGAGCAGGAGAGTTTCAATAGTCATCATGCAACAAGACGTGATGCCCAAATGCAACATATTCACCAGCGAAGAAAATAAAATGTAATCCAACGTATGCGCATTTACTTTTTGAGTATTCCACACATTTATTTTTCTCTCAAAATTATGCAACAAAAAGTGCTATGCGCGTCAAATTCGAGTACACATTTTTCCTGTAAAATTGTTTTTAATCCTTGAGCGCGTGAACCTTTCCATCACATTAGAGAACGGTAAATTATAAACAGAAGCAAATTGAACGAATATGAGGTGGCACATGTTATTTGATGAATATTTTTAGCTGTTGTACTTCCCATGTAATTTAAACAATCTTTTCCAGGAACTACGGTGCTTGTCTAATGCGGGGATGAGTTTTTGCCCGAATTTTGGAGCTTAAAATTGAAGGTGCGCGTCTTATGCGAGGGTGTGTCATACTCGAGTAAATATGGATTTATGCGGAAAAGCGTTAACTTTGGAGGGAAGATTTAGGGTACAGAGGAACGCTTTTATTTAGAACTGAAAAAAAAATCCTCCATTCGACTAAGACTCGAAACTTATGGGCCATCCCTTGGCTCTTTGGAAGCTCTGCTAAGGTACATGGAACACGTTTCAAGATAGTCAGATAGTCGACGGAATTCGTCGCCTCGCCGGATAATGCGAGTCAAAAGTGGGTAGAAATAAAGTAGTTGAAAAAAAAGAGGAATCAGTGGATCGCAAATGAATGAGGTGACGGATTGCTGATGATAGGATCTCAGTGATGGCCACTGTACATAGGGGCGATCGAGAAGGAAACAAAAGAAGATAAACAAAGAGAGAAAGATAGACGAGATATGTATAAATAACAACGAAGTACTCACGGCCATGATGGACTCCCAGGCCATCCAGCGAACAGGCAGCAACGGGCCGCCTTCGGTACGGTAGTAGTGAGACGAAAACTCTGGCTGACACACGGCCAAGTCCGTGATCTTCACGTGGCATCCGGGACCGACGAGGACATTGCGAGCAGCCAAGTCCCGATGCACGCAATTCAGTGCTTCCAGGTACTTCATCCCGGACGCCACTTGAGTCGCCATGTAGATCAAAGTCCCGTGTGATGACGGCGGAGACGAGGACGTCGAAGACGACGACGACGTCGACGTCGAGGAAGATGACGGTTGTTGTTTCCCAGCACCGGCGTTGCTGCTGTTGTTGTTGTTGCTCCCACTGCTGCTGCCGTTGAGACGCTGGAGAACATTATGACTGGCTGTTCCTCCCGTAGCAGCGGAAGCATTGGGATCGCCGGAAGTGGACGCGGAGGAACCGGAAGAAGAAGACGCCGTGGAACTCGCAGTGTCGTAGCCGTTCAACAAGGAGGCAGTGAGGGATGATTGTTGCTGCTTTTGGTGGCCAGAATTGCTGAACGAGTCTGGGTCGACTTGGGCCACGCCGGCGAGTCCGCCTTCGCGGAGGAATTTGTGCAGGTTACCGTACTCGGCGTACTGCAGTACGGCAGCCGGCGCCGCCGAGTCGCTCACGAGTCCCACGACCTGGGCGATGTTCACGTCGCGCAAACTCGTCAGAATGTTGAGTTCATCCATGAAAGTGGACCTATAATTGGGTTGTCAGAATGCGAGGTAGGAATATTTCAGACGAATGTGTAAACTCCACACGCATTTTACACTTGCTGGACTAACGGAGACCAGAATGGATGCAATTTAGAAGAGCAACTCTCACACGAGGGTGAGCCCATACAATAACTGATGCACTATAACGACGAGTAAAAAGGGAGCTGCTCATATGAGGAATTGATCAGGAGAGGCAGCACATGAAGGAATAAATTCATCATCAAGAAAATAAGTTCATGAAAAAAAAAACAATGGTTACAGAAAACGAAAAACATAATTTATACGAGATTCGTGGCAGCACAGCAGAAAAAACGCGCCATAATTGATTGCAACTGCTAAAAAACAGAATACAGACTATATAGATTTTTAAAAATTTACTTGATTGCCTCAGGATCCGAAGATCGAAGTACTGTTTCATATTACAATAGTTTATATCATGCTTCAGCTGGTTTAAAAAAAAAAAATCCCCGATTCTCAGCAGACCAGCGCAAATTGAGAATAGTTACCTGTACCTCAGAACTGCAAAATGTTAAATAAATACGGCAAAATAAATACAGATATTCAAGGTCATTCATGGCGAAATGCTGTGCAGAACTTCACTCACCTTAAAAGCTCAGTTGCTCCGCCATTCAGTGACTTGACAGCCACCATTTGCTACCTCAATCAAGCAACGTATACAGCAAGGATTGCATTCCTAAAAAATTCGTATCAGATTTCGTATCAGATATTAATCGCATGGGAAACATTTTCAATTGAATTCAGTAATGGGGTCAGTGATTGTCTATTAAGTTCAATTATTGATCGTCTATTGGTCGTTTTGTTGCACGATTTCTAACGCGAAAATAAAATATCGGGAGAATAATATAAAGCAATAAATATAAAGCACTGCTATATAGCATGCCTGATCATTAAAACCTTTAAACAGGTTGCATGTTAACAGAACACTATTTGCAGAAGTTCCAGCAGAATTCTTGGACATAAAAAGATCAAACTCAGTCGTGCTAGCAATATAAAAAGAGAAATTTCCGTTAGGAAGCATTTTAGAAAGTACATATAGAAGTATACATTTCATTTTAGGGTGCATCATATACTGTACCAGCTCAAGTGTTCCTTATTGTAAGAAACACATAATTTCAATTACTTTTTGCACTGGAAGCGCGCGTTTTTCAAATGGATTATCATTGCTTTAGTCGCGCACAGCAGTGAATATTGCGTTCACAAAAAATTTTAAAAATACTGGAGGCGCCGGGTATCGATCCCGGTACCTCTCGCATGCTAAGCGAGCGCTCTACCATCTGAGCTACGCCCCCGACGTTATAAAACACCGGAAGTTTTTCTCTATTTGACCTCACACATTAAGGCTAACCTCAAATTCAGGGAACAATCGGCAACTCAGCACTAACCTCTCCGAAGTCTCCGTCACCGAGTTTCCTGACGAAATGGATCTTGTGTTTCGGAATTCTGGACACGATTCCCACTTGCATCGGCTTCGCAGCAGGCGACCCCGACATGAGCAGGTTATTGTTGATGTTCGGCGAGTCCACTACCGTCTGCAACAGAGGAAAAAAGAAGAATGCTTGAGTGAGCATAGTGCGACTGATTGTGAAACTTGTTCCCGCGGACAAGGAAGAGTTCAGAAATAGTAACCGAACGCGTTTCCTCGTAGCAATGATCAATTATCTTTTGACTTTTAACAAACACAGCAGGCCACTTAATGCCTTCAGATCATTCAAGCAAATCATTCCGAAATAACTTTATAATTACGAGAAAGACATCGACGCACAGGAAGAGGAAAACTCTTCTTCAAAAACAGCTACATATGATTTAGCAGAATGTCGTACTGCACTAAAAGTCTTACAACAGGCGTAGGAGACGGTCCAGCAAACTACTTACAACCTTCTTCTCACGTGAATTTCGAATCTTTCCAAGATTGGACCTTGATTTTAACAAAATTCCGGAAATATGAAGAGCAGCGCTATGAAAATTAAGTTGTAAGATCAGAAGTTTATTTCATGATTGCATGAAAACCGTGTTTTCTAGACGAAAAAATAAATAAATTGCATGATTCAGGAACGTGAACTTATCCGAAGATTGACTAAAATTAAACTTGAATTAAGAAAAGAGCTCAGCTTTGACTCCAATTGCATGAAATAAAATAACTGCATTTAAGAAATGTAAAACGCTGGAATGATCTAATATCACAACTTTTTAAATCTTCAAATAGGACCAATAAAAATGGAACGATTTCAAAAAATTGCAACTCGTGATCATTAAAAACGTGAAATGAAAGCTAGTCCAATTTTTTTGTTTTTAAAGTCTCTTCTATTGTATTGTATGTTCCTATCACCATCATAACGATTTTTTTCAAAATATAAATATATTTTCCGAGATTTTTAAGTGTGCTTTCGGCAAGAGACTTCTAAATCGGAGACAAAAGTCATGATCATGCTGTCCGGTACTGTGTGAAACGGCAAATAATTTGCGTAAAAGGGTTCTTCACATTCGTTAAAATGCTCTATGTAAAGTTGTTTTCTTCAAATTTGAATGCCGCACCTTGACCATTTATCAAATGCTGTACAACCGATTGAGAACAATTCCCATTCTCGATTTCTACAGCTTCTTGATTTTATGGGAAATCATTGATTTCTCACCTCACGCTTCCCGGTATGAATGTCGTAAGTGTCGTAGGCCTCAACAGCCGGCGGCGGCGGCACTGATGGCGGCGGTGGCGCCGGAATGAGGAGGCCAACGTTGATCGACTGTTGCTGCTGCTGCTGGTTCCGCTTCCGGCCGCCCAATGCAGGTGACGCCGACACGGGCGACGAGCGAGCCGACGAGAACTTGCCCAGCAACTGAGCCGTGGCGGCTGTCGTCGACGTGTTTGCTGTCGTCATCGAACTGCATCCATCGTGGAACATGAGTGTCGAATCCGCAGTCGTGTTCATGTCCGGTACTGCGTACTCTCCTTGAACACATCCACTATCTGCAATCAGCCGATAAATTAAAGAATGAGCGAATCAACAAAAATGCTTATCAATCAAAGCTCGTGAGAGACGGCAATAAATCGATTTCGGCATTCATTAGCATCATCCCGCACACGAATGGTAATTAATTTTTAATATCGTGGTTGTACGATGATATGCCGACAAATTAAAAAAAATGATAATGTTGCACGACGTATGTTATTCAATATAAATACGCGTACATCCACAAATGCTGTAATATCTCAAGGCTTTTCAAGAAATTGCGTACAAGTTTTCAGTACGTCAGAAAACTGCAATTATTTTCGATATCTTAACTCCATGATTTTGACAAAATTCAATTTACTAGCTCATCTCAGTTGAACTTCTCATTCCAGTATCCGTACGTACATAGCAAAAATTAAACATGAAGAATCCGCGGAATTGTTAAAATCGGAGGTTCACGACATGTTTGTTCCTGTCAGTTGTCAAACAGAAATTTCGCGGAAGAATTAAACTTGGGTTTATTCTAATCAATTCTTGTAAAGTGGAACTTTTTTCAAATCGCTCTGGGGTAAAGCGTCTAAAATCTAAATTACCGCAGATTAAATTAAAAAAAAAAATTCATAAACGAAGGAGATGCGAGGAAAAGGAAAAAGATGCCAGAAAACTTCCTCGTCTCCAGTTCCAAGTTTTCATCCCTCGACTGTCGAACAGTAAAAAAAAAAGCGCTCTTCTTTCTTTTCTGCAATAAAATCCAGTCTCTTACAGCCCTCGACTGAGAGGTTCTAGGTACGTTTATTTTTATTTTTGTGTTCTCCCATCTCCCGTCTATACCCAGTGTGACTGGCAAGGAATGCGTGAGAGAAATATTTCTTGCGCTCATTCGAGGTTCGTGTTTCCTACCAAAGCGACTATGAATAAAGCGGAGCCAACAGCAAGCATCCCGTCGAAGAAGACGCACACACGGGGGTGTCGAAGAAGCGCGTTTCTTTTTTCCATGTTTTATTTATTTTATTTATTTATTTATTCATTCCGGCAGTTATTTATTTTATTCATTTCGACTTCTTACTTTATTCTTGCGTGTCATGGGAACTGAACTCGACACGGACTGTAACGAATTTTCGCGCACGCCTCATCGCGATCCGAGGCCGAGGAAGACGCGAAGGACGCGTTTCGGTGGTACAAAACTGCAGTCACGTGGCTTTTTTTCTTGTTGTTGTTGCGCTGATTTCCTTTTCTCACCTTGCAAATTTTAGGCGGTATTTGTAGAGGGGGGAATAGCTTCACGATACTGTTCGAAAAAATCCCAGAACTAGAGAGAATTTCCCCCCTTTTTTTTTCTTCTTGATTTCCCGCGGAAGTTTGAGCTTGGTGCGATTTTACTCGTACGTTTGGTGATTCAGCAGAGATTTGAAAACCGATTTTGACGCCAGAACGTGGAAGTTTGCCTAAGATGACACGTTTTTCAATTTATTTAGCTCTAGTCAATACATTTGAAACCGATCGACAAATAAGGAAAGAAGCCATTTTTTGGCGAAGAATTCCGAAAACAAACTCATTCAAACTCATGCATGTTGTATCATTACCCTCTGCTCTACCAAGAATAGATTTGGTCAAATATTGTGTCTCCTAATGTCGTGTGTCCATACATCCGGAAAACCAGTTTAAAAATATCGACATTACCGTTGATTTCGGACAGAAAGTTTAAAAAATGAAAGACTTTTGAATTTCTCGCGCTTTTTCTGCGCTGCCACTGGGTAAGGTATTCTAAAAAAAAATTTACAGAACTGATGAAAAAACATTACTGTGTCATTAAATTCAGCTTCTAAAAATATTAATTAGCTGAAGCTCAGACATTCCGGGGGTTTTCAATGTGCTGGTCATATACAGTATTTTAATGTACGTTTTAAGTTCATGGATCCGGTGCGGATAGAATCAATTTCAGGCGAGTTTTTAACAAGACCATTTTTTTCATTTCAGAACAATAAAACCATACCACATATCAAAGTTGCTCGAGTTCGCTACTCATTTTCAAAGAAAACTTTCTTTCATATTCCATGCTTCACCTATACTCGGGTATAGAGACTACTGCATTATAGGGCACTATAGCTGCCGTAAAAAAATACAATTTTGTATACAGTACTGTAACTGCATCCAACTTTTCATTGCATGTCGAAAGTTTCATTCTGAGATTTAATTTAAAATTCTGACGAAACCGTCAGAAGGAAAGGAATTGACGAAGAACGAGCCAATATAGGTCGAAGAACTCGTGATTTTCGGAAGTAAAGTCATCAAAAACTCAGTTTCCACATCCCTACATATTCGTTATCTAGAATAAAACCAGCTGCCGTAAATTCCTGATACAGAAACGCAATGACGAATGAAGGAAATAAACGAATTAAACGTAATGAAAATGTAACTCATAAGAAACAAGAATCCCAGACATACGTAATGTTCCATTCAAAAGGAACCTGAAGAATTTTTTAATTCGCTCAGCTCCATTCTAACGAAACCCCAACCGAAAAAATGAGTCATAAGCATAACCTAGTTTTCAAGTTTAAAAAATCCAATAATCTTTAAATCCTCAATTCATTTACAAAGGAAACAACGCGACAATGACCTCATTCAATTCAAATGAAGCAATCAATCATGTCGCGGGAAAATTGCGACTAAAACTAATTTCATCATCCATATACTGTAGCATGCCCTTATTACACGAAACGTGTTATTCAGACGTCACAGAATGCGTGTGAATTTCCACGATCATCCGCAGATTTAAATAATTTGTATTTTAATATTTTCAAAGCCAATCCATCGTAAAAAAAAACGACTATTCAGAACTCTTCGAATGGATTCCCCAACTACATTTTTCATTCCATTTATTGCCAGTATATTTTTTGATCGAACTTGTTCCAACTTGAACTGCTTTCACTCCATCTTTTGAAAAACCCTTTTAAGCCTTCAGAAACCTATTTAAGAAATATTTAACATTGACTGCTGAACAAACGGGGAGAGGATATATTTTTTTGCACGGAATCTCAAAAAAGTTTGGCAGACTGGCACGAGTCAGAGGATTGGGGGTTGGGGAACACTGTTCTACACTAGGCAACATACTTTTATTTTTAAATTTGTTTGGGATTTAATAAACAAAAACTCTGCTCACGAGAAAATGTTGACCCGCATTTTAAACCTAGAATAAAATGTGATTCTAATTGATACTTGAGTTTAAATTTTATCATTATTTTGATGCACAGGTGTAGCTGGGCACCTCAAGCTTGTATTCGTACAAAATATATTTTCTCACCAGACTGTCCTCGATCGGAGGACTCTGAATAACTGCTGGTCTTCCCGATCGTCGTGTAAGCATGGTTCACCATCGGCACTTGGGACATCATGAGGTGCTTCAGGGGCGAGGAATGCGGATGAAGGATCTCGTAAGCCGGGCCGCCGCAACTCGCGTCACTTCCGGCACTCGACAGCAACAGAGACCCACCACCGACGGGACCGACGCTGCCGAACCCTTGCTCGCAACCGTA